CGCCGCCCGCCCAGCACCCGTGTGAGCTGCCCGTCCCGCCCGCCCGCTCTCCGCTCTCTCGCGGCGCTCCCTCGCTCTCGCTCCCGCGGCGTCGCTCCTCTCGCGGCCTCGTCGGCCTGCAGGTGCCCTCCGAGCAGCGGCGGCCCGGCCCTCGCGCGACAGTGTCCTTCACCAGAGTGCCTCTCCCGCCGTCGTCGGCAGCGGCCAGTCCTCGCCGCCGTCGTCGCCGCCGTCGTCGTGCAGCGTCGCTCCCTTGCAGCCCGAGACCCGGTCCTCGACGCCCCGACGACGCCCACCAGCCCGCCTTGAGATCACCGCCCACATTCCGCCCACAGCCGAGGATACCACACCTCAAGTGCCTGCAACAGATTAATTCCAACTTCGGTCAAACATACGTTTCCCTCCCGTGCCCCCCACCCCCCTTCCGGGCTAAGCCTCCCCCCCCCTTCAGGATCAAGCGACGTCGGACGCTGCCTCCCGAAGGTGCCAACCGCCGTCAGGTAGTCCACCCCCCCTCCTCCCCCCCAGGCCCACCCGCGGCAGGACCACCAGCGCCTTCCTTCGCCCCCCCCCCACCCCCCTCGAGCCCTGGTGTTGACCCCACGACATGATATGATTTGTGTTTTGTGTGATTTCGTGTGAAAAGCGTGGGAAAATCCCTGACAAGTTGTTCCTCACAGTTTGTGCTACGTTGTCCCTCTCGCGGCGCGCGTGTGTCTCCCCGCTCGTGGGGCGAAGCGGCCTCAATACCAGGTGAATTTGGGGTGAATTGGGCTCCGAACCGGACACAAAGAGAGACTCCACTGCGGGGCTTGTCTGGCCATTTATCAAAAAAGGTGGATTTCCCTTCACACGCACGCATACAGCTCCCAGGCCGCCTAACCTGAAGATCCGACGCCCATCCATTTATTTTGATCCGAGGAAACGAGAAATCTGACAGTTGCTCCAGTTTTTTTTTAAAAGAGCCAGTTAGTCGCCTTCCTCCCCTCCCCCCTTTCTGAAAGTTCCTGGAGAGAGAGGAAAAAAATAATAAAGTGTTTATTCAGTGACCTTAAAAAAAGTGCACGGCAGTTTCCACCGATTTCTCCCTAAAGTGAATTTTTTTATAGTGCGATTCTATCCCTATCATTCGCGGGCTGGAGATAAATATATAAATAGAAAGAGAAATATAAGTATTGAAGAAAAGAGAAAAGAAAGGAAGAGAGAGAAGAGAGGAGAGAAGAATAAATAAATAAATAAATTTGGTAAATAAATAATACCCGAACGCAGTGATATTCATAAAAAAAGTAAAATTCTCAGTCATATCGGAAGTGATATTCTAAAATATATATATATTTATATAAATAAATCACAGTGGGATTCTTATATTGTTCTCTCTCTTGTGGAAAGAAAAAAAATAAGAGATATCAAACGGTAGTGAAACAAAAGAATAAACGAAGGGGGGAATAGAAGTACAAAAAAGAGAACAGAAAAGAAGATAACACAGAAATAATTGCAACAGAATGCAAATAAGCACAGGCCACGTGTGAATTTTGGAAGTGTGTCCTCTTCGACCATTTCATCGTCTCTGAATTTATAGGTGAGAGTTTGAAGATTTCATTGTTGTTTTTTATTAATTAGTGTAATGTTTAGACGACGAATAAAAGTGTGTTTTCATTGTGACGTGAATTTCATGCGTTGATTGAATCTCTTATATGAAAAGGGAAAAAATAAAATCCAGTGATATGGTTGTGTTACTTGATTGGGTAAATTGTTTTTTAGTGCTTTTGTTTTTTTGTTTTTTGTTTTATTATAAACTGTGGTTTATTTCATTTTCATTTAATTCATTCTTATAAATTTCTTTTACTTTATTTATTTACCTACTTAATTGCCGAGAGTGAGTATCTATCTGCCCGTGTGATTTGTTTGCCGGTGCGAGTGAATCTGTTATTGAGAAATTTCGAGAAGTGAATTAAAATCAGGAAATGCGTTCGTGCCGTGAGAAGAACAGCTTGCGAAATAATTGAGCGAACAGCCTCTAGGAAATTAACTCAAAAAGCCAAGACTAGATTCCTGGCAATTTTGACGAGATTATTAATTTTTTTTTTACATTCCCTGTGTCTCTCTCCTTCTGAGTCTCTGTCTCTTGTCTCTGTCTCTGTCTCTGTCTCTGTCTCTGTCTCTGTCTCTCTTCTCTTCTCTTCTCTTCTCTTCTCTTCTCTTCTCTTCTCTCCTCTCCTCTCCTCTCCTCTCCTCTCCTCTCCTCTCCTCTCCTCTCCTCTCCTCTCCTCACCTCACCTCACCTCACCTCACCTCACCTCACCTCACCTCTCCTCTCCTCTCCTCTCCTCTCCTCTCCTCTCCTCTCCTCTCCCCTCCTCTCCTCTCCTTTCCTCTCCTCTCTTCTCTTCCCTCTCCTCTCTCTCTCTTTCTCTCTCTCCCTAAGGATCCTGCATTCTGAATACTCCACAATCCGTTTTAATATCCAAAGAGTGTGGCTCATAATTACAGCTGGACAAACAGGCGGGGTTCTTTGGGAGACAATCCGAGGAAAATAAAATGTTTGGGAGACATAATGGCTGGATTACAGGCCTTTAAGTCATGCGATTCCGGATCATTTATTATTATTTTAGAAATTATCATAATTAGCTGGACCATTTCGACTCGGGAAAAAAAAATTGAGAAAATAGGGAGAAAGATATATATATATATATATTTATGTATATGTAGAAGAAAGGATAGAAAAAAAGGTAAAAAAAAATTATGATATGTTTATGTATATGTTTATTTAGAGAGATAAACAGGTAGATAGATATATAGACAGAGATATATATTCATATATTTATATATCAGTATATGAGATATGTACAAAAAATATATATTTATCTATCTTCAAACCGAATTAATCCCGGGAATCCACAAAATTAAAATCTAACCATTAGAAAAAAAAAATTGTCGCCTCATGCTTCAGGAAAAAAATAATAATAATACAATAAGAATTCTTATAATAATTACGATTTTATTCTCCCTCTCTCCTACTTTTATGAGTAGTGAGGGTGAGGGAAGGAGGAAATGAGGATACATACTTCTTGTTTCCTCACACATATGTCCTCAGAGCTAAGAAGGAGGAGGAGGAGGAGGAGGAGAAAGCGGAGAAGAAGGAGAAGAAGAAGAGGGGAAAAAAAATGTTAGTACGCGTTTGAGCTTCATTACTTCATTATATATTTCGCGTTATCCTCACACACATATCTTCAGAGCCAAGAAGGAGGAGGAGGAGGAGGAGGAGGAGAAGAAGGCGGAGGAGGAGAAGAAGAAGAAGAAAAAAGATAAACGTTTGTATTTCGTTTGAGTTACATTACTTAACATTACGCAAGTACTCTCCTCCCTCCCTCTCTCTCTCTCTCTCTCTCTCTCTCTCTCTCTCTCTCTCTCTCTCTCTCTCTCTCTCTCTCTCTCTCTCTCTCTCTCTCTCTCTCTCTCTCTCTCTCTCTCTCTCTCTCTCTCTCTCTCTCTCTCTCTCTCTCCCTCTCGCCTTGCAACGTGACAACGTGAAAAATCCAAGTCTGTAGTTATTAGCTTTTTGGAATATACATTTCGCTAAAAAAAGTCTCTCGCCTCGACGCTTTCACGCTTTCGTTGATTTGTTTTCTTGTTTACTTGTTTATTTACTCGTTTATTTGCTTATCTGTTTGTTTGTTTATTTGGTGACCTATCTGTCTATGTCTCTGTCTGTTTATATGCTTGTTCATTCATCCCATTGTTTATTTTTTTATTTATCTATTCACTTGTTTGTTTATTTGTTTGTATTTGTTTATCCATTTGTTTGTTTGACTACGTAAATAATTATTCATTAATGTATTCCTCTATTTGTCTATCGAGTTATCAATTTATTTATTTATTAATTCGCTCCTCGTGTATATAATTATCAATTTACTTTTAATCTTACATATCTATTTATCCATTTACTCCCTCTTCCCTTTATTCATCGTAAGATTAAATAAAGGAGAAATTAGATAACGAAGGAATTAAATATTTTCGTTTCATATCAACTGTGGTGAAGATAACTTTTCACCGGAAATGAAATTATTTTCCACACTTAAGTCTGTTTCTTCACGAGCGGAAAACGGCGCTGGTTTTTAGCTCTCGTAAAGCAACAGGAATAATTTTGAAATGCGAGAGAAATTGTTGAAAGTTGTTGTTGTTTTCAATCTTGATTCTCGTAGAAGAACAAGGATAGATTTGAAAATACGAGAGAGATTTCCCAGTTTAAAGAAAAAAAGAAAATGTCTTGATTCTCGTAAGACAAGTAGAAGAGATTTGAAAACACGAGTGAGATTTCCCAGTTTTCTTTTAAATCTTGGTTTTCGTAAAACATTAAGAATATATTTGAAATGCGAAAGAGATTTCCCCGTTTTTTTTTTTTTTTAACTTTATGCCGGTGAAGATACTTTCCTGATCAGATGAATCCTTCTGCGATAATAATTTTCCGTGTGTTAGCAAGTAGAATAAAAATATCTTTGTATCGGCTGAGAAGCGATATCTGAGAATGTGAAATCTCTCTCTCTCTCTCTCTCTCTCTCTCTCTCTCTCTCTCTCTCTCTCTCTCTCTCTCTCTCTCTCTCTCTCTCTCTCTCTCTCTCTCTCATATTTCAGCCCTTTCTTGTTGTCCTACGTGAGTTTATTTGTTTCCCCAACAATTAAAATTCTTAAATGTCTCTCGTCTATGTATGTATGACTCATAGATGAGGCTTAAGTGGTAGTATCCTGTGTGTACACGTGTATGTTTGTGGATTTGTGTACCTGTTATGTGTACATGTGCTTGTGTCTACTTTATTTGCATAAATGGGTTTGTTTGTAGTTGTGTTTGTTTGTGCTTTGTGTGTGTATTTGTTTGTGCGTGTGTGCGTGTTTGTCTTTGTGTGTGTGTATGTGTGTGTGTGTTTGTGTGTGTGTGTGTTTGTGTGTGTGTGTATGTGTGTTTATGATAGATGTGTTGATCCTTGTGTACATGCACAAACACT